GGGGGCCCTGGCGCGCCCGAGCAGCCGGGCAAGAGAGCGGCGGGGAGAAAGACGCACAAAGACAGCGCGAGAGGTAGAGGAGGGGACATAGCGCGAGCGTCCTGGGCCGAAGAAACTGGGAACGAGGGCCAAGCGGCGGCCGGGCGCGACCGCGCCAAAGACCGGCCGCCGGGCCGGGAGGGCCGGCCCTTCCGAGGAATGAGCAAATGCCGCGAGAGTAGGCATTTCGATCAAGACGCCCGCGGGCCACCCGGCTCCACCGGGCGAGCTCGGGGGCGCGGGGGGGGGGGGGGGACGATGGGAACACGCCTGCGGTTCGAGATCGCCAGCTGGGCAGAGAGAAGGGGCCCGGGGGACGAAGAAAACGCCCCAGGGGGCCGACCACCTCCAGACAGAGCCGCGGGGCGGGGAGCCGCGCCCCGGCCAGTCGCGCGCTTGGGGCATGCGTGTGCGTGCTCTGGAGCGGTGACACCCGACCCACCCGACCCACCCGCCAACACACACACGCATGCACGCACGCACGCCTCAGCGCGCGCCGGAGTTCCCGCGTGCAGTTTCGGCGGCTGGCCGACGGGAAACACAGGTGCCGCCCCCCGCCCCAGGGGGCAGGCAGCCTGCTCTCACTCTCGGGAGCTTTTTCGCCAGCCCTCTTGTTTGGGCTCTCTCTCTCTCTCTCCATCTCTCTCCATCTCTCTCTCTCCCTCTCTCGGCCAGACACGCATTGCGGTTGGCGGAGATGCCTGCTTGTGGGCGCCGCGGCGCCCCCGGCCGGCCTGGAGGCCCGGGATCTTGCGCCCGGAGAGGTGTGGGCAGCAGCCACCGGACGGCCACGATGACATGCACACGGATGGCCGGGCCCGGGCTCCCCCCGCCGGAGGGGGGACCGACACCTCGGACGCCCGGCAGGAGGGCCGTCCGTCGGCGCCTACGTTGACCGCGCGGAACATGGTCACCTCGATGGGGGATTCCCCGTCGGAGCGTGCTGCTCCTTCGGCCCGGGCCCGAACGACGCTACGCCGGGCCCGGGCCGGGGGCAAGAAGCTCGACTCGGCGGGCGCCCGCCGGAGGGGCCCCAGGGGGGATGGACGCATCCCCGGGCCAGAAATAAAGGAAAAAGCCCCATGCCATATGGGGAGCAGGCCGGGGCGGCGCCGCCGGGCGAGGACCCGACCGGCGCCCGGCGCCGGGGCCAACGCCCGAGAGCCTAGGTTTAGATCCTCCCGGAGTCCGGGGTAGGGGGTATATTTGCCGGTCCGCCGGCCCCTCCCTCGCCAGGGTCGGCCAACCTGCATCATCGGCCGGGGGCAGCCGGGAGCCGGGGACCGCGGGGGCAGGGGGAGGGGGGGGGCACAATTTCACGCTTCTGCCGCGGGAACTTGTTTACCGCGCCGGCCAGCCGCGGCAGAATATCGTTTCTCCTTGGTGGGCATTCCCCGGGGAAGGCCCCCCCCCCCCCCCCCTGCCCGCCTCGACCGGATGCTCTGGGCGGCTTTTATTAAACGGCCCCGACGCCCGGGCGCCTCGGCACAAACCGGTCTGGCCGGTGGGTCAGTCCTGGTCGGCTGACCACCCATCTGGTGATCACGTTTGCAGAATCCCCGGCCCCAAAGCCCGTAGCGCGTCGCCCATTTCCGCGTGTACGCGCGCGCGCCCCCCCCCACGCCCGCGCACAGCCCCACACACACACAGGAATTCCCCAGTACCTGGGAGCTACTTCTCCGGATCTGTAAGCCTCCTCCGTTGGCAGACAGGGCGCGTCGGCATCCGAGGGCCGTCACCTGGCTCCTCGGCGGCGCCGGGCTGGCCGGGGCGCGCGCCGGGCCCGGCAGGCTGGCGCAGCCGCGAACCGCGGCACTCCCACACCGTGACTCCCCCCCCCCCCCCTCCCAGCCTCGCCTCCCAGAAATGATGCCACAGCATAGGCCGGCGACGGACAAAGTCCGACAAGGGACCCATGAGGCAGGCAGCTAGAGGCCGGGGCGGGGGACGGGCAGTCGACGAAACTCGGCCCCTTTGGAGGGGCTTTATTCCGACGCCCGGGCGAGGGGAGGCACAGAGAGAGCGAGAGGGAGCCCGGCCGAGGGAGAGGTGGGACAAGCGCGCACGGTGGCCGGCCCCACTGCGCGAGCATCGGGGGGGGGGGCGGGGGGGGGGTCAGAGCTTTTCTCCCACCCGGAAGGTAATAGCCCAGGCGATATTTGGTCATTATTATAAATGTCAATCCCACGCCCAGCGCCTCCCGCCCTCAGCCGTCGGACCTGCTCGATTGCTTGCTCGCTTGTCTTCTTCGGGCCGGCCGGGGCGGTCCGCACCCGGGGGGGGGGGGGCGGGATGGAAAGTGCAGCATCCTCGCGCCCTCGCCCGGCCAGGGCGTCGTGAGGGGGGGGGGGGGGGGGGGGGGGGGATCTCCGGCGCTGGCCGCGCGCAGAAGAGGCCGAAGCAGCGGATGCGGCCACATGTGCCCCGGGCCGGAGTTGCACGGCCGTGCGCCGAACCCTCAGGCCGACCGTCGCGCGGCCGGTTGGCTTGTGTTGCTTCGAACCACCCCCTATCGGCCTTTTTTCCTCCCTCTCGGGCGCGGTGCCCGGCCCCGGGGGAGCATCTCTCCGCGGGCGGATTGTTGGTGCTCTTTTGCCCCCGGGTCGTGGGCGGCGGCGGCGGCGGCGGCGGCGGCGGCGGCGGCGGCGGTTCAGTCATCCGATTGTCGGGCCCCGCCCAGGGGCGCATGTGGGCGTGTGGACGCGCACCCAGCCGCATCCAGACCGCGTCCGCCGGAGGTGCGCCGCCGGCCCGCTGCAGACTGCCGGGCCTGAGAACAGCATGCGTCCTGCCGGGCGGCATGCCGATGCCGGCAGGGGCGGGCACCCCGGCACCCCGGGGGGCGGGCGGGCGCCGGGCGCCGGGCGCTGGGAAACGCGCGGACGCCGGCGGTGGAGCCCTGCCACACGCCCTGGCGTCTCTTTCCGGGGGAGAAGGCCCGGGCGCGCGCTCGTTCACGTATACCGCGTGTTGTCACCGGCGCGGGCGAGAGATAGCCCGGGGCCGGTTTCTCACGCCAGGATTCGCTTGGACGCATGTATGTGCGCCCCTATGCCTCCCCCCTCCCCCCTCGCCCGCTGGCCGCTGGCCGCTGGCCGCCGGCCGCCACCAGCCGGGGCCGAAGGAGGCGAGGGTCCGGGGCCCGGATCACTCCGCATCTGTGAGGGGCTTTGTTTGGTGGTGGGTCGCTGGCGGGCCCCCGGGCCCGGGCCCGGCGTCTGCTCGCGAGAGGCATGGAGACGGGCGCTCGGTCGCATCTGCGCGCGCCGGATGTCACGGCGTCTAGGCGGGCGGGTGTGCGGCCGGGGCCTCCCCCGGGGCCGTCTCTCGCACATGGCCCAACGGACCCCGCCGCGAGCGTCTGACCTCCGGGCCAGGCCACCGGGGGGCATGACTGCTTGGGTACGGTCGTGCCGCCGCCGCCGCCGCCGCCGCCGTTCGCTCCTCTCTCCACGGTGGCATTGGGCCCCCCGTCGAGGCGCGGGGGAAGCGATGTTGGTGATCTCCCGGGCGCCCAGGAGGAGGGGGGGGGGGGGGGAGGGAGCGCGTTGGGGCGTCAGTTGACAATTCCTGCCGGCGGGCCAGCTCGCGCATATGTGCCAGTGGGCGTCAATCGCCGACCCGCGCTGCGCCAGCCTCGCCTGGACTTTAGACACCTCCTGCGAGCGCCAGGGCGCGGGCTCGCCCCCGCCGGACCGCGCTCCCCCCCGGCCGAAACCCTCAAACCGCCCACCTGGCCCGGCGGCGCCCGCCCCCCGGGGGGGGCGGGCGGGCGGGCGGCTCTGGCCCCTGTCTGTCATCTAGAGGTGATGATCCGCCCCACCCGCCCGGGGGCGGGCTGTTCCACCTCGGGGCCTGTCCCAGACAATCTCGCCCGACGGGGTCCCCCGCCCCCGTCGGCACGCACCGCGCAGGCGCCTCCCGAGGACAACCGCGGCCAGGTGGTGGTGGTGGTGGTGGTGGGGGGGGAGCGGGAGGTCGGGCAGCGCGCACGCGCACTCCGACACCCATCCCCGGCCGACCCCTCCCACACAGGACGCCGGCGGGGGGGGGGGGGGGAGCAATTTCAGAATCCGGCTGATCTCCAGATCTCCCAAGGCCCCTCTCTTTGAGCCCCCCCCCCCCCCGCCTTCCCCCCTCCCCCCCCCCCAGATTTTTCCCCCCCCCCATTTCCCCCTCCCCCTCCCCCCCCCCCCCCCCCCCTCCCCCTCCCCCCCCCCCCCCCCCCCGCGTCTTCGTTGGCGCGTCCCCCCCCCCCCCAGCCCCCCAATATCGCGGCTGCCTTCTCCGCCTTCGCTTCCCCCTTCTCCCTCCCCCCGATCCCTGTCCTCTCGCATCCTGCTCCCGTGCCCTCTGCCTCCGCCCTCCCCCCCCTCGCCCCCGCACCGGCCAGCCACCCGCCCCGCAGGACTCCCTCTCTTTGTCCTCCCTCCTCCCGCGCCCTCCCCTGGACGTCCGTGCGCACCATGGATTTCCGCATTGCTAAGGGCCGCTTCAAGCTGAAGCGGCGCATTGGATCTGGCGCCTTCGGCGAGGTGTACCTCGGCATCGATCAGACCAACGGCTCCGAAGTGGCAATTAAGCTGGAGCCCATCAGTTCCGAACATCCGCAACTGCACTACGAGACCCGCGTGTATCGCCTCCTCAGCGGCAGCAGTGCGTGCTATCATGCCCATCCGCGGATCCCGCCGGTCTCCTGCCGCGTGGATGGGCTTCGCCCCCCCCCCCACCCACCCCCTGCTCCGATCATCGCACGCGCGCCTCCCCCGTCCCCTCCTTCTTTTTTTTTTTGACACCCCCTCCCCGATGGCACAATCTCCACGTGTCCTGCGTGTGTGGTGCCCCCTCGCGCCTGGACATGGCCGCCCACCCGCACAGACACCTTCCCCAATGGCGGCATCCCCAAGGTCCATTGGTTCGGCAAGGAGGGCGAGTATTATGTCATGGTGATGGAGCTACTTGGCCCCAGCCTGGAGGCTTTGTTTGACTTTTGCAAGCGCCGCTTCTCCGTGAAGACGGTCCTCCTCCTTTCGGACCAGCTAGTGCGTGTCACGTCCGGCCCGCCCCTCCCCCCTCCTCGGCCTCCCGTCTCCACATGGGGCCTCCCACTGACCGTTTCGTCGTCTTCCTGTGAAAGATCTCCCGCGTGGAGGCGCTCCACCGCGCGGACTTCATCCACCGCGACATCAAGCCCGACAACTTCCTGATGGGCCGGCGCCAGACAGGTATGCATCACCCACCGGTCTGGTGTCCCGGCCGCCATGCTCGTCTACTCACATGTCTTCCTTCGTTTTTTTTTCCCTTCCTCCACCCCTCGTGCCGGCCAGCCAACGCCGTCCACCTGGTGGACTTCGGCCTGGCCAAGCGCTTCCGTGACCCCAAGACTCGCACGCATGCCTACTATCGCGAGGGCAAGAGTCTCACCGGGACAGCTCGCTATGCCTCCATCAACACTCACAAGGGTATCGGTGCGTGGTGCCGTGCTCCCGGGCAGTCGCGCTCCCTCTCAGGCCACCTCCTTTCTCGCGGCCCGCCTTCCGGCTCCCCCCCCCCCCCTTTCTCTCTCTCTCTCTCTCTCTCTCTCTCTCTCTCTCTCTTTCGCTCTCGCGCTCCCGCTCTCTCTCCCTCTCTCTCCCCCTCTCTCCCCCTCTCTCCCTCCCTCTCCCTCTCTCTCCCCCTCTCTCCCTCCCTCTCTCCCTCTCTCCCTCTCTCCCTCTCCCTCTCTCTCTCTCTCTCTTTCCGTCGCCCTCCTTCTGATTGCGCTAATCCAACTCCTCCTCCACCTCATCATTCAGAGCAATCCCGTCGTGACGACATGGAGGCCCTCGGCTACATCTTCATGTACTTCTTGCGGGGCTCCCTCCCGTGGCAGGGCCAGCGCCACGGAACCAAGGCACAGAAGTATGAAAAGATCAAGCACATCAAGATCAACTGCCCCCCGGCCCAGCTGTGCCGGAGCTATCCCAGTGCGTTGCGTCCCTGCCCGGAGGGATTTATTTTGTGTTTCTTTTTCCCTTTTGCCGCTTGATCCCCCCCTGCCTCCCCTTGCCGATTCCTTACTCTGTCTCCTTCTCCCCCCCCCCGCCCCCGTTCCCCGTTCCCCGTTCCCCGATGCCAGATGAGTTCCTTGAGTACTTCAACCATGTGCGCGGCCTTCGCTACAATGACAAGCCGGACTATGTGTACCTGCGCAACCTCTTCCGCAACCTCTTCAACGCCCGGAACTTCGTCTACGACTACATGTTCGATTGGTGTGTGGTCAGCCAGAAGTGGGGCGTCACCCCGCCCGGGGACATGATGCTGGAGACGTACTTCCCGCCCCAGGGGGGCAGCGGCGTGGCCGCCCTCCCCGCCGGAGGGGCGCCCCAGGAGGGCGACTTCCGGAAGGCACTTCCCCCCACGCAGGACGCCGATGGCGAGGAGGAGACCCCGCTGGCGCCCGGATCGGGCACCGGCCTGAAGCCATCGTCGCCCCCGGTGCCGGCCGCCGGGGGAGCCCCCGCCGACCTGTCGGCCTCCGCTGCTCCTGGGGCAGCCGCCGGTGGGGCAGCTTATCTCCAGCAATATGGCGCCAGCAACCCGGCCCCGGCCGGTGGCTCGATGCCCACCACGTCAGGCACCCTGCCGACCAACTCCGACATCACTCTCGGCGTGGCCACCCTGCGGGTGTCTGGAAATGTGCCGGCGTCAGCCCCTCCCGCTGATGACCCGGCCGCCGGGACTGCCAAGCCGTCGGCCCTTCGGCGCAAGCCCCGGCCTGACCCGGGGGCAGCCGTCGATGGTGGCAGCCTACCTGTCGCCGGGGCAATCCCCCCGACCGAGGCACCGGCGGCTGCCACCTCGCCGGCCCTTGTCAAGGTGCGTCTACGTCGGCCCCCCCCCCCCCCCCTGTGTCGTGTCCCTGTGTTCTCCCTCCTCGGCGTGTTCCCTTCGTATCGATTGACTCTCTCCCTTCTTCTTCTCCCTTCTTCTCCCTTCTTCTCTCTCCTTCTTCCTTCTTCTCCCTTCTTCTCCCTTCTTCTCTTTCTTATTTCCTTCCCCCCTCTTGGTACCACCGACGTGACCTCAGTCTCAAAATCCTCCCGGCTCGACCCCACCTCCTTCCTCAGCCATAGAGGCCCCCATGCCGGCTGACGGTCAGGATGACAATGCCCAGCCAGCGTGCGTCCTTCCCCTTTTTGCCCGATGTCCAAATGCCCCCTCCCCTTTCCTCGAAGTACTCACCCTGGTCTCCTCCCCCTCTCGGACGCCCGTCACAACACCCTTATCTTGCAATATGGGCGCGCAAATGCCCAGCGTTCAGAGTCGCCGTCGCCAGCTCCGCCGGCTGCTCTTCCCCTCGTCATACGGGGGCGACGATGCCTCCTGAATGGGCGAGGGGAGGACACACCTGCGAAGGCGGTGGGTCAGGGCGCCTGTGTGTGTGTGTATGTGTGTGTATGTGTGTGTGCGCGCGCGCACCCTCTTCGGGTTCTTGTGCTTTCGTCCGCGCTCTCCCCCCCTCCCGAATGCGCACACATTCCCTTTGCAAAGGGAGGCGAGGGAGGCCGGAGAGATATACACGCGTATGTGTGTGTACGTGTGTGTGAGCGCGCGCGCGCGCGCACATGTGGCACCCCCAGCCGCAGCAGCACCCAGCAGCAGGGGGAGGGGCCCCACAGAGAGGGCCCCGACTGCCGTGCGCATCTTCCCTCTGCTCCTCGCCCGCGCTCCTTCCCATGCCATTGGCAGCGACCTCTTGTATTCTAGTCACCACACTCTCCCTTCCTAAGTCCTTGTTTATACACATTTTGGTCACCCATCCCACCTCATGTGCTATGGTGCGCTCGGGGGGGGGGGGGGGGGGGCATACGAGGTGTGCCCAGTGTATTGCTAGGAGCCAATGTCGAAGCCACGATCAGTGATGACATAGGTCGAGCGTGCATGCGGGGCAACCGGGCTTTTGGCGACGTCAATCCAACGCCGTGGAGCCGACAGCCTGGCGGTCGGCCGGTCGCCGGCGGAGGGCGCTATCCCGGACGGGCCGGCCAGCGAGTAGTCCACACTGAGGCGGGTATTGACGGCATGAGCCCATGTGTTGCCGAGTGCCGCGGTCAGCTGAGGCTCTACCGTGGGGTGGAGGAGGGTGAGCAGATGAGACACGTATGTATGCATGTATGTATGTATGTATGTGTGTATGTGTGCGTGCGTGTGTTTGAACAGGGTGGGGACTTGAGCAAGTAAGGCGACTTCCGTACCAGGAAGTCCATGCTTATCTTGCAGATACTCGCGCGGATGATCGATTCCAGCGTCTGTGCCCTCGCTCTTCGAGGCACGGACCAACACTTGGTTGGTGACGAAGAACTATGCGAGCCCACGAACCGGCGGTCAGCGAACGGCGGCGGGCCCCGAGCGGTGGGCAGACTGGGTGCGCGCAGGTGGGAGGGCAAAAACGGATAGGGGAGGGAGATGCGCATATATATATATATACATATATATATATATATATTGTGTGTGTGTGTTTGTGTGCATGTGCGCGACCAAAGGCGGGGAGCGCACCGGCACTCCGTGGTAGGAGCTGATGTATCTGCGTGGGATCGGGCCACCGGTTAGAGAGGGCGTGTGCTCTAGGTGGAGGTCTGGTGCACGGTGGAAGGATGTCCGTACTTCATGATGGAGGCCTGTCGGCTGAGAAGCTCAGTTCGAGCAATCAGCCCTGACCCGAGGGTGCCGCGATCGGCGACCGGGCCCGACGGAGACCCAGTCGAAGGTGGCTGGTCACGGGCAAACTCGCGTCGAACCAGCGCGGCAATCGAGTCCACCACGACGAAGGCGATGCTATTTTCGATGATCTGGCTCTCCAGATCCATGAGACTGGGACCGGCGGATGGGTCAGCGCGGCGGGAGAGGCACCCGCGACACCGGGAGGGAGGGGGACCAACCATCGACAGGGGCATGCCACGCACATGTGGAGAAGATCCGTCGTGGAGGCGACAGCAACCACGCGGATACGGTCAAGCAGGCCCTCGCTTTGGGGGAACCGTGCCCGAGCGATCTCGGAAAAGCTACCATCCCATGGGTCGCATCAGCCAGCAGCACAGCAGGGGGAACAAATGTGTATGGCGGCTGCCGGGAGAGGCAGAGAGAGAGGCAGAGAGAGAGAGAGGGAAATGCCGGTCTTCGCACGTACCGGACCGGGGAGAAGGCATTCTCCGTGTCAATGTACAGGACCCCTGGAGCATCCGGCCCGCTTGCATTTTGCGTGCGCGCCAGGAACTCCGAGGCGATGGTCATGCAGAGCTGTGTCTTGCCGCAGCCCGAGGGGCCGACCACCTGAGAGGATATGGGCGGGCAGCGGGAACCATCAGTAGGCATTTCAAGGGGCGACCGCATGAAAGGCCGGTCGGCGTACCTCGGTCACCGAGAACCGCGGGAGACCGCCCTTCAGCAAGGCATCCAGTGCCGGGATGCCAGTGGCAAAGAAGGAGTCACAGGTGCCGTGTGAGTTGGCCGGCTGGCCGTCAGCCGGCAAGTGAAGTCGCGACGCCTGGGGGTCGATCGAAGGGGGAGGCAAGTGTCAGAGCTTGCGTCGGAGCATGCACGCATGCATGCTGCGATGCATGTATGCGTGCGCGCACGGGCGGGACAGGCAGCAGGAGGGAAAGATGCACGCGGTGTCGGCGTGCCTGGACCAGTGGGGGCGAGATCTCGAGGGAAACCCGGCGCTTGATCTCCCGGATGGACCTGGTGTCCTCGTTTAGCACCACCGACAGGCGGTAATCGCAGGAGAGGAGGAAATCCTTCCAGAGCAGGCGCCCAGGCCAGTCAGCGGGGTGGCTGCGCATGCGGTTCGTGTGGCGAGGCAAGACCATGGCCGGCGCCATGGGGGGATGATGGAGCCAAAGGAGCAAAAGAAGGGCGCCGGGCAGGGGCCCGAGCATGGCGCACATGGCAGGTAGTCAACCCGAAGGTTTGAAGGCGGCCGAGGGCTGCCGGGTCCAGCAGCGGCCCGCCACCAGGACCGGCTGGCAGCGTGGCGAGCAGGCGCGTGCCGGCCCCGAGGCCAATCGACGCGTGGATATCCAACAGGCCTAGAGGGGGGGCGTGTGCCTCGCCGCCACCGCCAGCGGCCGAGGGAGCGGCCGGGGGAGCGGCCGGGGGAGCGGCCGGGGGAGCGGCCGGGGGAGCGGCCGAGGGAGCAGCCATGGCGTAGTATGCGCCCGGAGAAAGAATGTATATGCGTGTGCGTGTGCGTGTGTGTGCGTGTGCGTGTGTGTGTGTGCCTGGTTGGATGCGTGCGCGTCAGTGCATGTCGGTGTATGTTGGTGGGAGCGGCCAATTTATAGAGGGGCGCACAAGTGGGCGATGGCGGGGCAAGAAGAAGAGAATGTCCGGGGAAGGGGGGGGGGGGTGTTGGTGTTCACGGGCGCGCGCCCGATCGGCCCGGCGCCATCCTGCCCGTGTCCTCCGGGGCCAGATCACACTTTGACACACTTACGCACAAGCACGCAAGCACACACACACACGCGCGCGCGCAGGCCGGGGCTCGCATCGAAACATCGCATGTCCCAACGCTCGGATGATGGCGGTGGTGCCACTCGAGTAGCACCATGTGTCCGTGACACATCACATGCACGCCGTGGTATCACACCCACAATCAAGCGGGTATTAACATTCGCCACCCCACAATCCCGGCGGTGGTTCGTGTTAGCCGCCGGCTGCCGTTTGCGGGCGGCATGTCTATTATTTTCGCATGTCCATGTCGACCTTTCCCGAGCCGGGCGTTGTTCCTTCATGCGCGGTGCACATCCCCATGCCCATGCCCATCGGATGGATATAACCACGACGGACGGCAACATCCCACGCAGGCCCTCCCTGTCTGCCCCTGCCCCTCTGACCGTCCCCGCCCCC